GCAGAGCATTATCACATGAGAACTAATGTATTTACAAAGCCATGGGAGCTGGTTTTAATACTGTCTATGAAGTTGGAGTTGGTACCGTGCCTGGAAGCAAGTTAACATTGTGCTAAGCAGGATCTGGAGATCTGAGTATTACAAGGAGGCAGAAATGTATGGATACCCCGCTGATTGATAGTAATTGTTTGCAAGAAACTGAGGAGATTCTTTCCATACTGAACTAGCCATCCTGCTGTAGCTGCTTTTGCTGTTTTACAGCAGTTTTGACTAGTGTCTTCTATTTCTTGAAGCTTGTAGATAATCTTTTGCTGAACCATTCAACATTTGTGAGGACTGAACGCCATGCTGTGAATCAGCAGCAGGGCAAGCCATATGTTAGCCTCATCTTGTAAAGTGCTGGGCAGCCTGAGCACCCTGGTGAGGCTTAGCTTCTCTCAAGCTTGGGTTCATGTTTCCAAGCCATTTAATATGCAAACCTAAGCCTGTAGGACTATAACATTTACTAGATTGCTGGAGAATTCTATTTTGTAGGAAGATGACATGCATGTGTAGACAGAGCTGCATAGAACTGTTGTATCAAGACCCGGTTCGTCCTGTGCTGTGTCTGGTTTTGAAAGTAAACATGCTCCCTACCTCTGAAAGGATGAGAAGGCTGCAACTGCCTCATGGATCTCCTCCTTCAACCACCTACCTGTTGTTTTCTTTCTCATTTATGAGGCATTAAACTTTCCCAGTTGTAAGCCAAATTTTATTATGTGTCATTTTGCATGTACAGGGTGTATGAATAAATACCTTTACCAGTATTTTGCTTGTTTACATGAAGAAGCCTTTGGCAGTTCTGTGTGCTGGTTATTTGCAGAGTTTTAAAAAATGCCAGCTTTAGCTGGAGTAGGAAAGTAGCTTTGCAGAAATCTTCATTATATTGGGATTGGAATTGGACGTGATGTAATAGTTCTCTGTCTTTAAAAGTTAATTTATAGCTCAACTTAATCCTTTACATGCCCTCAAATCTGGAGTCTGTTAGACAATCGTCTACAGAAATATCTTTGGACTTCAATGTGTTAGCCTTCAGAGTTTATTTTGGAAAAATACAAAAAGAAACTAAAAAGGGATGGACTGCCTCACTGGTAAATGGTTAACAGCATTGAGGTTTTATTGCAAACAGGTTACAGAAAAATCATACTCTCTTCTGATGATATGAACAGCTTGGTGAATAAAGGTGATAATGAAGAAGGTGGAATCAACCCAGAAAAATCACATGCCTTTGCTTTGGCACTAGGTCAGAAAATAACAGTTGGACACTTTATTGCTGACTTATTTGAAGGCAGGATCAGGTACTGAAATAACTTGAATTAAACAATGTTTTTTAATCTGTTGGGTTTTTTTAATCTCTGGTAGATTAATGCTAGATTCAAGACACCCCTTCCATTACCTTACCCATGTGAACTGGTGTTAGTGAACTGGTGTTAGTAAAAATCTATTCCTAGGGCTATCATACCCTAGCATGCCAGCGAAGGTTAAAAAAAGAAAAAGAAAAAAGTCAGTGCATCTGTAATCATAACTGATTGCTTGATATCTATTTGCATACAGTCCTTCCTTCCTTCCTTCTAGTATACTTTTTTTACATTAAGGCTGCAATGATGTTTTCCCTGTTGAGTAAAATCATGTCATGAAAATGAATGTATTTGCGAGATCCAATACTGGTTAATTTTGCCTTCATTTAGAATACTTGGATTTCTGTTCAGGATTTTATTGAGTTTCTGCCTGATACGTCATCTCCTCAATAGCTCTCCCACTCCATAAATGCTTGATGAATTCTGAAATGTCAAGGTAATGTGGAGGAGATGTGGAGCAGGCAGTCGGGATTGTATTGTAGCTTTTCTTTTGCTGTGGTATACTGAATTTCAGTCACTTCAGGATGAAAGATGTGAATGTTGCTGTATTCCATGGGAAAATGTCTTGGAAATAGATTAAAACCTGTTGAAATAATTTGCCTGGATTTAGTGGATCTGTCAACTGAAGCAATGCAAATAACTTTTAAGTCTTGAGACTGATTAGTAGTGGGGGAGTGGGAGGGAGGGGCAGGGAGAAGGCTGATTAGGAAGAAATGGGAGGAGGATTAAACCAAACTTTCCCGGATTAGTGTGCTCAGCAATGCAGTATTACCACTAGGTCAGCAGAGCACTTTGCCTGCTTCCTGTTCCTTATGCAATGTGGCTGTGTTTCAATTTACTAGCTTAGTTTACTTTGTTCACAACTGTTTGGGAGTGTGTGTGTTTGGTTTTTGTTTTGGTTTGTGTTTTTCCTTGTGATATAATGAATGATTTGGTACCTCTAATAGGAACAAAGTCTGGCAGAGGTTGGGAGGGAGGATGAAGGACCCAGGATTAACTCTTCCACATGGACAGGGATTGAGTAACAAATTTGTGGTGTTGTGACACAAAGAACCGAGCCTATAAATGAAAAATATGACCTGCTGGCATCAGTGGAATATCAGTGGTTTGTGGAACTGTTGTCCCAAAATCAGCCCAAAATCCTGAAGTAAATTTTGTGTCAGGCCCTTCCATCAATGTGTTCTGTACCTGGAGTAGCATGCCATGAATGTCTGCTTGGGGTCTATATGTGACTGTTGTCACCTGATCATATATTTGATATGGTGATGTTAATTTACACCCCTTTGAGACCCTCGGGGTTTATGTATTCCCCTATTATCCTGTCACATACTGGGGACTGCTCCTGGGGAGTGGTGATCACTGGGAGATGCTTCTTCCATACACTTCTTTGCATTGCCCATCTTCAAACTGTCCCACACAGATGAGTAATGAGGCTCTTTGTTACTCTTTGGATATTGGGTGAGGAAATTGAGGATCTGGTAGTCTTTAAAAAACAAACTGGTAGAAGCTTTGAGGATGGCTAGCACAAATGAATAGGCTGCCTTTGGTGTCAACCCATTATTCTGAAGCTTCTTTTAGTGTTAACAAGTTTAAGCCAGAAGCATTTACTTTCCGAATTCAGAACAGACCATACAGTTGCAGACTCTGCAGGAATAAGTGAACTGAAACAAAAATGGAAAAAAAAGAGGCATGTTTCTAATACTCAGTTTATTTCGAAAGATTTCCCTCACCCTGACCCAGCTGTACAACTGACAGGTGGCATCACAGTTGCTGCGTGAGGACTTAACCTTCTTGCAGTTCTTACGCAGCTCTGTCTTCGAGGTTGTGTTTATGAAAAAGATCCCAGGTCTGAGAACTTCTGCGTCTTTTTGTAATCTTAAATTCATCTTTGTACTCCACCCACATGCATACAAACAAACAAGCCCTTTTAATGTCATCTGTCCTTATGCACGGAGTCTCATCCTTCCTGTCATCAAGTTATTGCTTGCTAGCTCCCGCTTTGAAGGCGGCAAAGTCTCTTATGTGTTCTTACAGCCAGGGGTCAGAGAGTTTTAAGGGTTGTTCCTATCCTTGCCTGAGCCCTTAACAAGGTTGGTTAATTTATTATAAGGCACGACATCCTTTTCCATCCACTGGCTTAGGAAATACTTAAATGCCAAGTGTTGCTGTAAAACTTTTTCATATTAAAAACTATGCAATCTGCATAGCTAATCTGCAAATCTTACATGAATCCTTGGCATTATTGTTGTATGAAAATGTAATGCTCGTTACTAATTGGTCTGAGACAAGAAACAAGACTAATCCATCACTGTGAGGTGAGAATAGTCATGGGGTCCACGTGATCTGAATTTGGACGCAGATTAACTCAGTTCTGAGCCCTTGTTTTTACCTTGGAAGGCCTCTGCTCTCTTATATCCAGCCACCTGTATTATCACCATAGTGTTTTAAGATGGTCAGAATTAGCTCACTCATCTTTTCCTACCGTGTATTCACATACAGCTGCTGCTACCTAGGCTGTGACTGTCTCTTTGTTCTTTCTGAGCGCTCGGGCGCACTGAAGACTCTGGCTGAATGTTTGGGCCTTGCTGTCTGTACTAACCCTCGTTCCTCACACACCAAGGTGGTGCAGAAGCACCAGGTTGTAATGCAGTATGTCAGAGGTGGCATCAGGCCAAAGTAAAGGGTGTTCAGAATCTCTGGCCCAGATAGTTAACTGTGCCATGCTCTGCTTGCTCAGGATGACAAGGGACAATAAGAGAGCACACAAACTCTGTCCCAGTTTTAATGGTTTTCTGTACCAGCCCCAGCATAAAAGGTGCTATTAAAGCAGTTCAGAGATTGCTCTGAGTTTTACAAGCTCTCAATGGCCTTATATATTTGGAGAGAGGAATAGGTTATGTTAAAGGATTTGACAGGGGTTAAGACCCAGTTCCCCCCTTCCTCTTTTTCTTTTATTCCAGTTTTAAGTAATTGTTAACAAATAAGGGACAGAGCAGTTGATACATTAGTGTTAGGAATACATTGATTAAAGATTGACGTATCCAAATGTTTGTCTGTTTTTTTCCAGCTGTCCAGGAAAATTATGTGCCCTCCCTACAAGTCTTGCTTTGCATAAGCACATCTTGAGGATGTGTGTGCTTTAGCCAGTTTAGCCGTGCAAGTACGGAACTATGTGCTGTTTTGTACTCCTGTGTCAAAGCACTGTAGTTGCATCAGTATATTCCCTGAGTATGAATGCATTATATAAAGGTGCATCTGCTGGTTCTCTTTATTGCTGTAGATTTTGGGGAAAGATGAAACATTCTTATGCTGGTATGAGAGCTTACATGTTTGAGGTTGGTTGTTATTTTGGGGGGTGGGGCAAACCCAAAACTAAACCCCAACTCCTACCTCTATTCAACTGAATAACTGAAACTGTGTGTTGATTAGGTCTGAAGCATACCTGTTATTACTGCTTCTCTATGCAGGTATTTTGGGACTAGTTGTTTACAATATTTGTGTAAATAGGTGCAGATTCACTCAAGAAGCTGGTAACAAAGTAGTAGTAACAGCAAAGCTGAAGACCTTTCATTATTTCTGTTAACACATCAATTTTGTTTGTAGAACGAAATGTGTCTTGCCACGCAACAGCTTTCGAAGCAGCTCCTTGCATATGAAAAGCAGGTATGTTCAACGTATGACTTTGATTTCTTTTCAGCCTCAGCACTTGCAAAGAAGTTTGTGTAAATAGTGTGGTTTGCAGAAGTGCTTAGGGCATTTGTTTTACTTGGTTTCATGTGAAGGCTGTTGTAAAATTCCCCAGGATGTTCAAGGGAGTTAGGTCACTTCTGAGATTCTTAAAAAAAAAAAAATGCAAAATGTGAGTTAATAAATTTATGAAGATGCAAACCAGTTTGTTCCTGTTGTATGACTATGACTTTAAAATGAGTATAATAAGCATTAATTATACGTTGTCCAAAATCCTTTCATTTGAAACAAGAGGAGTAAAAGACTATGTATTAATGGGTTCCTGCCTGTCCATTTAGTTTTATCAGTTATTGCATTTTGTAGGAGTATTCATTACCTTTGTAGTCAAACACATGTTGTATTTTATACTGACCAAATTTGTGTTTCTGTTTTCAGCATTTTACCTTAGGTAAAGGAGATGAAGAAGTGATATCCACCCTTCATTACTTTTCAAAAGTTGTGGATGAGGTAATTTGAATCGCGAATATTCTATTTTTACAGTATAGAATATTGGTGTTTTTTCTTTTGGTCCTGAGACTTTCTACTGAAGCTAGATTGTGCCTGAGTTTTACCAAATCGTTTAATTGGGGATAAAGAGGTATATTGTCACCCTTTCATAATGGTTAGAGCTGTTTCTGTGGCTTTATCCCACATGCTGTCCTCAGAGCGAAGCTGAACTTCCTAAATAGAGGAATTAGAAAAGAGACTGAAACAGGATATTTCATCTAGGCTGGGGCCATTTTTAAATTTAATTCCATTTTTAAATGACATTTTCACTTTTAAGCTTTAAACACTGCAGTTTGAGCCAAAACCTGCCAGAGATGGATGCTGGGCAGCTGTGAATTAGTAAAGTTGCAGTTTACTTGCTGTGAGATCACGCAGAATCCAGAGGTGTCTGGAGGAGGCTGCAGAAATGCCTGCTGAAGGCATTGTTGGGTACTACTGCTGTGCGTGCTGAGCACTTCCTACTCTCCATAGGTTGCTGCTGAGTACTGAGAGTCTTTCTAAATGCTTTTGTTAGACCTGCCCATATAACATTTCAGTATCGTCTTAGTATCTAGGTCTTCATTGCTTAACTTTGTCACATCACATTTTCTATTGTGAGTAGGGCTGTACAATCAGAAAAGTTGTTGTTCGGCAAAAGGCTGTATTGCGGTCTACTTTTTGGGAGATGAGATAGGAGGGTTGTGGGGCAAAAAATAAGTTAATTTTTTTAGAGCCAATGGATAACTCTTAATAATATAGTGATAGAAATCCCAAAGGTTAACCTTAAGCTTCTCCCGCTGCACATCTGCTCTCAGGGGATACTTGAAAGGAACATTTATTGTCACAAGTCTTGTACTTGTCTGTGTGAACTATGAATAAATCAAAATAAGAACTTTCTCCTTCCCAGGAACAAGAGAACTATCCCATTTGGGAGCAGATGAACCTGCTCCATTCCTCAATCTCCTTTTCTGTGTGTGAGCTACCCCCTGTGCCTGTTCTACAGGCATTGAATTGCTCTCGTTTAGTTTTGTATCATCTGTTGGGAAATAGTGACTTCATCCTCACCTGCATAACCCCACAGAGGCCTCCAGGATACTGTGAGCAAGTGGGCAGAATATCCTGTCAGCGTGTGGCGTGCTCCTTGTTTGTAGTATCAGGCGCTTGAGCAGCAGTGATTGATAGTTGTCCTACCTGAATCCATCCAATATTCTCAGCATGCCACTACTGACATCAGAGCCTTGCCTTCAAGCTGAAGAACGTCACACAAGTGCTTTAAAATATGTTTCAATGTGCGGAATTTTAGAGAAACAGTTACAAAAACAGGAATGGGAAACTGCTCTAAGGGTAAAATACTTGAATGGGACCTTTCATTGTGTTTACCCCCTGTTGTGCTTGTGTCCCGGGTAACCCTCAAGAATGGAAAACGATTCTAGTCATGGTGGTGGAAATGTAACTCTGTGGTGTAGAGACTAACAAAAACTGGTTAATAAAGGCCAATTACAGATTAAATTCTGTTGGGTTAAGCATTGGAATTAATGGTCAAATGAACTGCCCTAATACAGTATGTGGGAACTGAAAAGTTCTTGGATCCTTGGGAAACACCAAGCAGGAATTAAGCATTTAGGGGAAAATCCTCATCTGTCTCACATATCTTGAGAAATGTATTTTAAGCACTGAAGTACATTATATCCTTTTTTTTTTGTCTGCTGGGCACAAATGACAGGTGTGCTTCTTCAACAGCAGTAGAGTGCTGTTTGGTTGGTTTTTTATTTACACTGTGTCTTAGGACATTCCTCTGTTCTCTGTTTCAGCTCAATATTCTTCATTCTGAACTGGCAAAACAGCTCGCAGATACGATGGTTCTCCCAATAATACAATTTCGGGAAAAGGATCTCACAGGTAAATTTTAAGTTTTAATTTTCCTCATGTTCCTTCTTGTTTAGTTCGTAATAAACTGAGATATAATCCCTGTAATAATTTGGTTTTTGATGATTCACAGAAAAGTTTTCTGTGTATTTTTTTTTCTGCTACAGAATTTCATTGACAGGTGCATGCTTTTACTCAGACATAAACAGCGCAAGTTCACCATATAACATTTTATGCACCATATGGTGCAAGTTTGAAAATACACAGCTTTGTTCTTTGCAGGGTCACTCTGCTTTTACACTAGTGTGATTTCACTGAAGTCATTGATGTTGTCGTAATTGCCTAAAGAAGGGAAATTTAGTAGTGAATCTGTTTTGCAAACAGTATTTTTGTGTTTGAAAACCACAAGCAAGAATGGGGTTTTAGCTTCAGAGTCTAGAATATTCCCTCCCTTTTAAGGAATCAGTCCGCTTTAAATCCTTGCTGTCCAAGGGTATTTCCAAGTAACCTGATTGCACAAGCTTGGAAATTCATTACTTAAACAGCAAAGCAATAATGCAAACATTTGGTGCAATTTCAAAAGAAACAAGTTTGTATTCAATGTCAAGGACACTCTAACCTACTCATGCAACAGAAACATGAGTCGTTACCACAGCGGGGGGGGGTGTGTGTTATTTTGAGGGGTTTTTTTTTTAAAGCCTACTTCTCAACTGCCTAAACTCAGCCCTGTTTATATACTTTTTAAAGACATCATTTTGATGGGAGACAAAACAACTACAGCAAAAAATAGTGATGGGTTTAGGTTCCTTATATTGTAGCATCTCATTTGAAGTTATGAAGACATGAAGGTGTCTATATTAGTGGATGTCTTGTTTATAATATAATGTCAACTATAAAGCAATATCTGGATGGTGGGATCTTGGTTCTATAAACACTTTTCCACCTCTTTAATGTGGCTTCACTAATACAGTGACTCTGCTCCCATCTTTATGGGTTCTGCCCCTGGTTCATAAAAGAAGACATAAAAAGAAAATGCAAGTGAAGCCTGCAACCAAACCTGCAGCTGCTTCTTGACAAAAAAATGAAAGTTTCTTCATCTTCCCTGGATGAAAAATCTTTTTTGTTCTATTCAGCCATCCATCACCACCTCCATTTTTCTCTTGACACAGTCTGTAGAACAGCATTTTTAGTAGACACCTGGCCATATTGAAATTTCATTGTAGGATTAAAGAAGGAAGCAAGGTAGATGAACTGTGTTCTTGTTTTTACTTGTGATCTTGTTATGCCCATGTATTGAATACTGTAGAAACCTTTAGGTACAAGTTAGTCACACCTGGGAAGAATTTCTGTCTTTCTGCATTAGAGTCATGAGGAAGTGTTCTGGGGAGAAAAACGCTGATTAATGAGTAGGTTGTTACAAATAATCAGAGACCATGATGACATCCTACAATTTCCCCTTGTTCTTCTCACATTTGCATAGTGTCTGGTTTTGTGAACATGCTTTTTTCATAGCTTTTTGAGAAGGATTTTGCCAGTTGCAGCATACATTGGTACGGACACTGAGGGTAGCTTGTGCTCAACGCTTGTGAGAGTTGAGTCGCCTGTTTAGTTTTTCTTCCTTCTACCTGTATCATGAGTTCGTGGCCAGTGCTTGTTATGAAAGCATTGTAGCCAACAGTCAGATATGTTAGATACATACTTGTTTCCACAGAGAAACTTAGCAAACAAGGTTCCACATCGATGGGGATTCATGTACGGGAAAGGGGGTTAGTTCATGTGTGTCTGGGACTTGGATTTCTCAGTATCACCTAAGCATTGTCAGGAACTACCGGTCTTTTATGATAGTGGTGGGCCTTCTGATGGCCACCAGCTGATCCGGTTTATCATTTTCAAGACAGGCACAACTTATGTGTCTCTGCTGTGAAAGGACTGGAATGACTTAGGCATTAAATGTGCCTTAAATGGTCTCAGTTGAACAAAGTGTTTACAGCTGTTTTTACTTTGAATATTTGATTTCTGTTTTCCAGAAGTAAGCACATTGAAGGATCTTTTTGGCCTTGCTAGCAATGGTATGTTTCCCTATTTTGTTTGTTTCTAATGGTGTGCACCTGTTATATCACAGAAGACATTTTTAATCTACGCACACACACACTTCACATTTCTAAAAAAAATAATATTCCTTGTCTACAGAACATGACGTGTCCATGGCAAAGTATAGCAGGTTACCGAAAAGGAAAGAAAATGAAAAGGTAACAAACGTGAAAGGGAAAAGGAAAAGTTTTCATCAGCCGTTCTGTCTGCATCATTGTTCACTTATGAACTTTGGAGAGTTCATCGGTTAAATTCACAGTAGCTCGAGAGTACTTGTGATTTTGTTTCCAAGCAGACACAAAGCTTTCAAACATCAATTCAGCGAAGTTATACCTGTTTTCTCCAAGTTAGGCAAGTGGTCAAGTATTGTACTGAACTAGAGCCCTTCAGATCCAGGGGAGCTCTTCAGACAGAGGCAATCTAAATGGCTGTAAATAGATTTGTATAGGCCTACTGTTGTACAGCTGATGTGATGATGCTGTAGCACTGGGCGCAATTCATTGTGAACTGTCATGAAGCCTTGTGTCTGCTGTTTGTAAAGCATTCAACTTTTTCGCATCTACCTTCCTGCTAAATTTCTCTGTATTGATTGGCATTCCACTTAGAGTACACACAGCTGTGTTGGTGGGATTGTTTTACGTTTCTTCTTCTTTGCCCACTGGACCACTATTCCAAAATATATCCCTATATGCCAAAAAGTGTGTGATTGGCCCTATCCTGAGAGTGCATCAGTTCTACAGGATGGTCCTTTAAAGGAAATGCATTACAGAACAGAATGTGATATAGCATATCGTGAATTACTTATCTCGGAATTCAGCGCTTGTAGGCTTGTGTTGTGATCTCAGCTGTAAATAAATTTCTTGCACTGAGAATAGATCCAGAATGTTAGTTGTGGTAGTTACGTAGTTTATTGTCACAGGGGCTCCCCAAATCCTTCAGTATCTTGCCAGAGAAGGGCTTGAAGTACTTGCTTTGGGGTTTGGATTTGCTTTCTTAGTTTCTCATCCTTCATTTTATAGTGGAGAAGTTCTGTGATGAGAGTTGTTTAAAGATAACTTGAAAATAATCAGTAAATATATCCATATTCACAGTAACACTTTATCAACCTCTTTATCAATCTTCATTCAGCTGAAGGCAGAAGTGGCAAAAGAAGTGGCAAATGCAAGAAGAAAGCAGCACCTTTCATCTCTGCAATATTACTGTGCCCTTAATGCTCTGCAGTACAGGAAGAGAGTGGCAATGATGGAACCTATGCTAGGATATACACGAGGACAGGTATGGACAGTAAGATGTCTATATCACTTAGGCGTGTCCCTGGGAAAAGTAAAACATTGTTGCTCTGGATTTACTCTTTTTTTTTTGAGAACTGGAAAATGATAACCAGGGGTGGGGGGACTTAGCTTGCCTCGATTCTAACAACTGATTTTGTTTGTGGAGATAGCTGAATGTTTAGATATTCAGGAAAGACACCAATGGAAAAAAAATATCAATACACTTATATTCAAAATCAGCCTGGGGTTAATTTTTTCATGGCTAAGCTGTCAGTGCAGCAGCATTTACTTCCGCAGTTTACTCTGTCTGCGCAAACTCTCCTATGTAGCAGTTTCCTTCCTGGCACATAATGTTCAGCATACTGATGAGGAGTGTACACGATAGGGAACAGAGCATGCACTGGAGAACTGGAAGGACAGAACAGTAGAGTGGATTGAGCATAAGGCTGGCAAATCCTCTTTCTAATCTTCATTCTGCCAGCAATTTGATAGAGCATTTCTCAAGTCTGTAAAATGTGGTAGTAATACTGATAATCTGACTCTGCAGTATGTCAGGAGGGTCAACAAACTAGTATTTTCACAGCACTTGATTGTCATTACCACCCATTTTAAGGGTCTGTTGTGCTTCAACATTGATGAAAGCAAGTGTTGGGAAAATGAGAACTGGGCTGTGAAAACAGAAAAAAAATGGGTGCAGTGCTCTGTTGTGTGGATCATCACCTCCATTGTCTCTTGAAGATCATATGCCCATATAAAATAGGTAATAAATGAGACTTCAGTCACTTTCCCCACCACAGGAGTTCACACTGCTTCTCTGCTGTAATTATACTAAGAAATGCATTGGTTTCCATTACTGGAAGCCACGCAGAACTTTCTTTCCCTGTATTTTATCTGGCAAACCTGCCGTATCTCAGTGCTTTATACAGGAAAGTCCTAGGTTGCCATGGGAGTGACTGAGTAGCCAGAAGCCAGTTGCTATTGATGCTTAAATACTGTGAACCGCCCTTCAGCCCAAGTATATATTTTCTTCATTGATTACTCAAAACATGTGTCTCATATTTCACATTTCCAACAAATGAGCATGCCATAAGGAATTTTTGGAAGAAGCAGTGGCTAATACAGGGTTTATTTGACTGAAAACTGACATCAACATCTAAGCTAGGCATGTCAGTCTCACTATAATCAGTGGAATTTAGAACTCTTCCCTCCTGAAGTAGGCTTCTGAAATAGTGTAAGTGAATCATTCTTTAGGAGAGTGTGCTTTCTCTCCTTTGTCTGTAAAGAGCGTCTGATCAGTAACATGGTTGCAGAAATCTGAGTTACAGGTAAGAGGAATCCTATGTCCCAAGGTTAGGGAAAAGGAGTGGAATCACAAGTAAAATCGGATGAAATAGCTAATAAATTGCTTAACAGCCAAGAATTTGCTTTTACATCTCTTTCTGGAGCAGTTCGCTGATTTTTATTTTTTTTTAAAGCTTATTAATTGCACAAACGTGCTAGCCATGTCCATGTTTCAGAGTTGTCAGTAGGTCCTAATGCTGACTGTGTGCCCCACAGCAGGTAATCCAAGGTCAAGTCTACACTGAGCGCTTTGCTGCTGCTGCATGCCTGGTGAGCCATACGGGCTAAGTGAATTCATCTTCTGTCACAAAATGCGCACTTTGGCCTTAGTAGGTTTTTTAGTTCCTTCAGCAGAACAAAATCCGTGGTAAATCTGTAGTTGATATAACTGATTGCCTTGGAAGCTTCTGCTAGCGCAGCTACACTTCATCACTTTCCTGACTGACTTTGCCATAGCAGTTTAAAAATTTCCAGGTTGGAGTTGGTAGTCCAGGTTGGACTTCAAATCTAATGGACAATTTATGTCCCATTCCTTCTGATACGGTGGCATTGCGTGCAGTGGCTCATAACCCCACTAGACTCAATTCTGCACAGTGCTAGTATGGGAGAAGGCTACTTGTTCCCTCATTCCACTCATTTAGCAGGTTCATTGGAAAGACACCTGTCAGCAGCCGATAGCTTTTATGTGTGTAAAAGGGTGCATGAAAGGGTGGAAAGTTGCAAAAGTGAGAAATACAAAGAAAGGCAAAGCAGCTGTTTTGACCATGTGTTTGACTGCCAGCCCAAAGTATCAGTCATAATGGGATTGCTCTTAACACAGTCCCCACAACCTGTTATTTGTCTGCCAAAGCCAAGGTAACTTCCAGTGTCCGTTTGGTTTGTATTTTTCAGATCAACTTTTTTAAGAAAGGAGCAGAGATGTTTTCCAAAAGAATGGACAGCTTTTTGTCATCTGTTTCAGACATGGTTCAAAGGTAACAAAATACTTCTGGTTCCTTTGAATTTCAGAGCAATTGCACTGTAACCTTCAGCATGTAACAGACTGTGCTTCTGTTTCTTTCTCATGAGAGTCCTTCCATGCTTGCATTGTGTTGTTGGGCATATTTTGTTAAAGCAGCAGATGGAAAGGAGGTATGTTTGAACATGTAAAGGAAAATGCTGCCAGTGCATTGCAGAGAGTATTTTTACAGTATAGCCAGGAACTATATACTGCAAAGTGTTCACCTACTTTCTTACATCCCCATGTCTCTTCATGGACACAAACGATGGAATTTGGGCTTGAAATGGGTTAACGGAATTAATAAAATAGAGCTAAACTGCATTCTCAGTTGGAGGTTTACTTGCTGAGTCTTCTGTAGTAATACTGTAACAATAACCCATTAACTTGCCAAATAAGGATTTAGGGTCTATAGTGTTTGTTGTAGCTACACAAGGCAAACAAAACTCCTTATCCTAGACAACATACTCATTGCATCCAGTATAGGCTGTATCCGTCCACTGAGTTCACCTGTGTTGGCTAAGCCCTTATTTCAGTAAACTGTCTCACTTTTGTGATTTTTTTTTTCTTGCACCCTCCCCACCCCTGTCCTCTGCTTGTAGTGAAGATTGACGTTTTCTTTATAATTAAGTCCCTGTGAATGTAAACTTTACATTTAAATGTAATCATATTAGAACATTAATAATTTATTTTAAATCAGCTGAAACACTACACTGAGTCCTTCACTTTATTGCTTCATATGTTCCATATCGGACTATAGCCAAATCATTACTCATCTGACTCCGGTGGCATTTTAAATAATGCATACTTGTTAATTTGAGAACAGTGTTACAAGTAATCTCCCTGTATAGTAGATTCTTTCACTAAATGAATCTTTACTTCCTGTACCTTTATACTTATTTATGTATCTTTTCACACTCACTTCTGAAATGAATCTCTCTACAGTCTACACAACATTTGTACAGACTGGAGGACAGATTTTAAACTCCCTTGAAATCGTGGCCTTTATTTAGTAAGGCTAGAGCACCTGGCTTGTGTCTTACAGGCACAGTGAGGATCCTGCCACTGGGAATAAGCCCTTGTTTTTCAAAGTATGATGGATTTGAATTCTGGATAGTACAAAGTAGTAAATGGAAGCAAAAACAGGCTGCTCAGGTTTTTTGCTGAGTCTGTTTTTTTGTGTTTTAAGTCTGTCACACAGAAAAGCTTGAAAGTACGGCTCAAATGTAACTAGCACAGGAGCATGACGTCTTTGGAAAAACAAAAAGCTTGCAAAATTCTGAATGACACTGTGCAGCTTAGCAGTTACTGACACAGGACATGGTTTCATGACTTAAGATTACACAGCCACTGAAAACCATGCTGCCCACTCCTTTCCTTCTTTAGTGCTGGAGATCACAAGGCCTCAATGAGTCAGATCTGCTTGCTAATCAAGCTAAAAGCTTTTTATTTGTCAGATTTGTTTTCCTGGAACAACAGGCCACTGAGACCCGTTGTGCAGCTACAGAATTTCAGCAGTGATGTAGTCTTGCATCTGCTTGATGATCTTAAATGTCTTTTCCAACCAAAACGATTCTATGGTTCTATTTAAATTGTGTTACTGAGTTTTCATATTTAAAAATATTTTCATTTATACAGTGAATATTGCTAGCAGTATAAAAACACATAAGAGAAGACAGATCACTACAATATCCTCAGTAACCAATTGATCTAATTGCCACAAATGCATATAACTCCAGAATTGTAAGCTTTTTCTCTCCTTTCTACCTTGGGGATAGGAGAAACACACCTTAGGAAGAGGAATCCAGTCTTGGGAACCATGAAAATGGCAGAGCAGTTTTGTCGGAAGCAATTTGTGGTGCAGCAAAAATGACTGATCAAAAGATGTGTTGAAGTAGCGCTTATATAAAAACTGACAGCACTATTCCTTTTTGTTTCAAAATGGAATTTAAATAATTATTATTCTGACATTTAATGATAATGTTGAAAGGCACTAGCTTGCAAAATACAGTCTAATTTAATTCAGATCTGATTATATTACTCAGCCTTTATAACTCAGCCTCTCATATGACTTGGCTAGGTGGTAAGATGCACACAGCTGGTCTCATTTTGGAGGTGATGTGGGAGCTTAGGAAGTCTCAGCTTTCTGAAGATGCAGGAAAAGCTGGAATTAAGCTAACATGAAACAGACTAACAGCATGATGCAAGAGTGACTTCATCTGGTCAGCCAGATACTGCTTAGTGCTAACTTAAATGCAGCACTGTGTCTCTAGATTACTTCAACAGTTACAGAATATCACCAACTTCTCCAGAAGACTGGGGCGGAGAACGGGAGAACAATCATATGTACTTGCCTTTAGGCACTGTCAGAGAGAGGATAGTGGACTACGTGGATCTCTGGTCCTGCTGTTTCCACCCCATGAGTTTTCCCTGGCTGCAGTGAACTTTTGAAGATGATAGAGACCAGCCTTGCAGGGACATTAGCCAGCTCCCTCAGGACTTCAGTTCACAGGCATGTAGTCAGACCTCAGGTTCACAGAAGGGCAGTGCAAACAGATGGTCTAAAAATGTTTTCTACTTCCTTGTTCACACATGCACCAAATAGTGCTTGCAGCTGACAGGGAGATCTAAGCCCTTTTATGTATAGTTTAATAGTTATTTTTTTAATTATTATATTCCTTATTTTGCATTTTCAAAATGGCAGACCTTTGGTTACTTTCTGATCATGCCCATTGCATTGCTGTGTATTGCTCAGAAGAGTCTGCAGGTGAAACACAGACTTAGTAAGGTTGATGGAAACAAGGCCAGGGCTATTGATGTGATGGCATTCTCCAGTGGTTGTTGGGAACCTCTGAAAATTAAGTGGCTCCCAAGGATTGTCTGACAGTAGAGGTGAAAAAAAATGATGATGGTATTTCGCTGACATATGACTCTGACCTCGTTTTGCTTGTTCCAGTGAAGTGGCTGCTCTGCTTCCTCCTTTATGCCAAATGTGTCTTACAGTAATATTACGAAAACATAGATGTTCAGTACTGCAGTATATATCCATGTGATGCTTCTGCAATGAATTATCACTTGTTCTCTGAATTAAATTTTGCACTCAGATACCCTTTCACAGTTACCGCTTTCAGAAAACTGGATTTTTACAGATATATTCAAAAAAAGCTAGTTTTGCCAGCCTACACCAAGGATATTTTCTGAATCACACCAAAGTGGAAGACAGTATTATAAAAAAAATAAAGCTAAAATGAGGCTTGGTTATAGATTTTGTTACATTTTTCTGAATTCAGGAAAACTGACTGTTGAAAATCTGTGACCAGTTAATAGGTGGTCTTATGGCAGGAATTCTTGCATGTTATACCATTGTAGGAGTAAGACAAAGTTCTGTGAAAGCCAAGAGATACTATAGTGAAGCCTACTTTGAAGTGTGCTGCTATACTAGATCAACATCTATATATGTTTAGCAGTATAAATTCATTTTTGTTTGTTTTGTGTTTTTTTTTTTCCCCAGCATACAGGGAGAGTTGGATGCTGAAGCTGAAAAAATGAGGGTATCCCAGCAGGACTTAATTGCAGTTAATGAATCTGTTTACACCCCAGATTCTGATGTAACTTCACCTGCTATCAATAGAAATCTCATCCAGAAGGCTGGCTACCTTAATCTTAGAAAGTAAGAAGGCTGTTGCTACCCACCGGTTTGTTTAATTGCTGACGAGTTGCTACTTTTTTTTTTTTTTTTTAGGTCATAAAGACTCCTCAGGTAATGATGTTTGAGGCTGCTGAATCACTGTGGTAGCTGTAGTCTTCAGCTGCTAAGTATCTCTGTCATCTTTGAAAATGTGCTTTAGAAACTTAAACCAAATTCAGAGGCATTTGAAACTGTTTCCCTGAAAACAGAAGTTTACTTCTGCTTGCATTCACCTGTGGGGATGATTTCCTGCTTTCAAGTGGCTAAACACTAGAAACTGATGGGGCTAGGTTCAGATTGTTCCTAGTTCTTAGGGCCAAAGAAAACATAGTGTTTATGAAAATAAACAGCTATATTTATAATTAATACACATTTTCATAAATGACCTCCTTTACATAAATTAAAAGTTTTATGGACAGTGCAAGTGTGTAACTTTGAATGTATACCATACATAGTTACCTCTGCAGATTTTCCAAATAAAATCTTCCATCAGCTTCCACAGGAGCTCTGTGTTATTGGTGCCATATAGTGTAACCCTGTTTATGTAATTGATTAAATACCAGTTTATTTCTGTTTGACTAGTAATTTTTAATTTAATTTTATTTTTTGTGAGGATTGGACACTTATTAATTTCTTTAATTCGAAGAGCTGGATTACAATATAATAGGACTCCATAGCTAGGGAGAAGATGGACTCAGATACTACTGGCAGAAGATACTTTTTTTTTTTTTTTTTAAATGATGATTCTACGTGCTGAAATTGCTGACGCTGCTTTTCAGCTTAATAGTATTTCATGTCAGTTACTCAATACCAATAATTCTTTTACTCCTTAACTAGGAGATACTGCAGAGAATGTTTTTAACTTGGCAAGTTTGGAATTAGTTTAATTCTTCAGCTTTCATTCAGGATTAGTCTCTGTAAGGAGTAGGTGCTGCTTTTACTTCTTAACAGAGACTCATCATAAAAAAAATTCCAGGGCTGAACATAAAGTTCAGATTAGGATCAGGATTCGTTTGCAGTTTCATGTATGTTTGGAGTCCTTTCTAAATAGTAGTGAGTCTTTATCCCTGCATCTTCTGTTTAGTAAAACAGGTCTGGTGACTACAACTTGGGAAAGACTGTATTTCTTCACTCAAGGTGGCAACTTGATGTGTCAGCCAAGGGGAGCAGTAGCTGGAGGACTGATCCAGGACCTGGACAACTGCTCTGTTATGGCTGTAGACTGCGAGGACAGAAGATACTGCTTTCAGATCACTACTCCTACAGGCAAAGCGTATGAGACAGGTTTTATTTGAGGACAGCCAGTCACACCTACCCTTTCAGATGCTGTTTCATGTAAAACATGCTTGCTATAATAGCCTTTCTGGGTTTCCAGAAGGGTGTTTCCAAATTAAAAGCATGTTCCTTCCTGTCCTCCCCCACAACCGCCTGAACAGTGCAGGCAGTATCCTTTTGCTGCAGCTTATTCGTGAGATTTGTTCCTTTGATGGTTAATAGATGCAAAGCTTGGTGACGTTGTTATAAGACCTGGAGTCAAACAGTCCTGGTGTCCACTGCTAGCACTGATACACTATGTTTATATTTTAGGGGTATAACCCTTCAAGCAGAAAGCAAGAAAGAATACGAGGAGGTAAAAAATATTTTCTTAATGTTGTTAGTCTTGTATACAAGTGAGCTGGAAGAGTTCAGTTTCATTTTTCCCTTCCAGTGGATCTGTGCCATCAACAACATCTCCAGACAGATCTATCTCACTGACAATCCAGAGGTGGGAGCTTGTTTCCAGCTTTCAGTCCATTCTTTCCAACTTGTTTTCCCACTGTTCTTTACATGGCAGCGTAAGGTACGTGTGTAAAAGGGCTGTGTGGTCTTTTTTTGCATAGGCAGCCGCAATCAAGTTAAATCAGACAGCGCTGCAAGCAGTGACTCCTATTACCAGCTTTGGGAAAAAACACGAAGTTCACCACCCCAGGTAACGCTCTCGCTTGCACAGACTAGAGACTGTGTGCTCGGTCATGCTCTTTCTACAGGGCAACAGTCACGCAGGAAGAAGCCCCGTCTAGGCCCTGTCGTTACAGGCCTGCGTGTTCCATTAAATTCCTCTACTTGTGATGTTTTCCTACTGAAAGCCATAGGAGATGCCAGGTGTTGAGGGTAGTGCTTATTGCCCCACATCACAGCTTTGAAGCTCCTTGTGGTTGCTATTTTGCTGTTTCTTCAGAAACAAACACAATGCTTTATTTGTAAGCCCTTTGCTGTAAGGGAATGACTTGTAATGTGGATCATCCAGCAGAGTCCCTGGTATACATTGAAGTAAGTATATACTTGCATATTACTTCCAGCAGTTCCTCTCAGTCTGTCACAGGAATATGCCTCACACAGCTGTCACAATAATTAGTTGTTCTGTTGTGCTCACTCAGGTAAATCAATAAAGCTCCTCTCCTTGAAAAATTGTTAATAATGCTCTAGGATATGCTTATATTCAAATATATATTTTATGTATCATTTCTTTGTGTCCACGTGATCCTAGCCTCTTGCCTAGTGAGAATTCTTCAGACTTCATCATCAGAGTTGGCTTTCAAGCCCAGTGCTGGACTGAAATCCTGCTTTCAGAAGCAGTGTGATAAATAAAATAGGGCAAGTGTCACACTGACTTCAATATGAAGAGGTTTCGCTGCAAGTTTTGTCAGAAAATTGTAAATTCTTACTCAGATATTTACTCCTAGAAATTCCAAGCTTTTCCAAGCTTTTCCAAACTTCCGCCTCTCAGGCCAGTGCCTTTATTATGATTTATGATTGCCTTTATTATGATCGCTTACAGATTCCAAAGATTCCCTATAGCCATGGGGAATGCCAGTCAATTTCTTTGTAATTTTATACATACTACAGCTGTTTCACTTTGATTACAGATTTATAAATAGACGGCTATTGCCATCTATTTCACTGGGCAAAGGAAGTAGCTATTTCATTGATGACTAATCTCCCAAGTGACTTTTACATCTGTGTGCAACCAGAAAACTTTATAGAAATGGCAGATGCTGCTAGTAAACCCAGTGTACCATACGTAGTGACGCGTATAGTTACAAGTTCAGTACCTGTGGGAAACTTAGCATTTCATTCTCTTTGAGAAAAAGTGCAGGAAGAAATCTGACCCGGTGTGTAACAATTCTTCTTAACTATCACATTGTAACGAGCCTGTGGCCGAGGAAGATCTTAAAAAGATGTCAGGATTGCCAGTTACACCTTTAGAAACGGGTCCAGGTCTCTGCTGCTTGAACTGACAACGCGGGTCTAAGTATTGCCACTAGAGGGCAGGGAGGCAAGCAGCAACTTGCTGCTCAGTCAGCCCGCACTCGCAGTTACCTGCACTCGGGTTTAATGTACCAACATTTACTTTGTTCCTATATAACTTTAGGTACAAAACATAAACCAGATGTTATAGGTGTCCTCACTAACAGTTAAATAGGAAAATACTCTTATTTCTGTTTATGGATACTAGTTCAATCCCACTTGGGATTTTTGAATAATCTTGTCTCCCTTCCAAAGCAAAGATAGGGTGTCACTGATTGATTGAAACATTATTTTTTCTCCCCATTTTCATTTTAGCCAGAATGTAAAGAATATGGAAAATGATAAAATAATTCCCAACGAATCGGCTGGCATACAAGATTCCCCACAACTCATTGCTCCTGGAACACCGATTCAATTTGATATCGTACTGCCTGCCACAGAATTCCTGGACCAGAACAGAGGTGGCAGGTATGGCCAGGGGCAGTGATCAGCCACTTTAACAGTGATCTCAGAGGAGGAAATTAAGTATTACAGCGTTTGTGTGCATGGTGACCACAATCTGGAATTAAGAGCTTTTCTTTTTATTTCGTAGGCGTGCAAATCCATTTGGGGAATCTGAAGACAGCAGCAAAGACGAGGAAGGTCAGTGCTTCATTTTCCCAGATAAAATGAGTCATGATTTTAGGCCCAATTCAGCTGTCGGCTATCCAGTGTCTCTTCAAAAGCACCTGACACCATGGAGCAGCAGTAACAGGCCCGTAGTACAGTAGAAGGTAGTTACCTTTCAGAAGTCGGCTTTTTAAAGATCACTACCTGTGAAAACAAACTCCTTTTTCCTTGACAGTCCAAGCTGTATGCCAGATAAGGTTTCAGATGTTGAAAGGCAAAAAGATTTGGTTGGCTTGTTTTTTGTCTTTCATTCTTCTTTTTTTTTTTAAGTAGCTGTTGACTTCTTTAGAAAGGGTTTGATGGGACTGCACTATAACTCTGCTCAAGTTTGAGGCTGCTTAGTAGCCATTTCTTACCCATATGTACTCTGAAACCCACAATCTACATCTCAGAGAGTTCAGTGCGTAGTTGACTGCCCTGCATTGCAGACTACGCAAGTGAGTCTGTGAAGCTCAGCTCAAGCAGATGCTCAGCAATCTTTGCGGTGTCTTGTGCAGTGCGGACACAGCTGTTGTGGCCTTTGAGCAGTGGCATTCAGCGGGACTTGTCCCGCTTTACCTTGCTCACCACCAGCCATAAAGGGAGCCCGATCGAATGATGGCTTTGTCCCAGAATGGCTACTTGGTTGTAAACAGGAGTCTTGTAGTGATAGTCACTGAGCAAGGCAGGATTGAATGAAAACCTCATTGGAACCAGCTGCGTGGAGGGAGGGTCAGAAGGACATAGAAGAAAGTGAGGGGCGTACAAGAGAAGAGTTCATTTGATGGAAGCCAGGGCTTGCGCGCAATCATAAATTTATCACAGTTTACTTGCACAGTTTATGTGCAGCTGATAACCAAATAGGCAGGTGAATTTTACTGGCTGATCACATAAGGCACAAAGGGCCAGTTAGACTTTTAAAGCTTACAAGCAACTGTGATTTAGTTTTGGTTTTTTTCCTACTTGCTGCCAGTTCAAGCAGTGTTTAAAACTGGGTCAGAGCACTGCCTGGCTTGTAGCAGGAAGCCACCGCTCCTGCAGTCGCCACCCACAGGTTTACTGTTTAATTTCCAAAGTGAAAAAAATAAAATTGAAAATTGAAACTGGAAAATTGAAGTAGCACAGTGAAGGACGTCATGCCTTTTATCTTCCAGATTCACTCTTGCAGCAGATGTTCATAGTTCGGTTTTTGGGATCTATGGCTGTTCAGTCAGATGACACAAGTGAAGTGATTTATGAAGCTATGAGACAAGTGTTAGCTGCTCGTGCCATTCACAACATATTTCGTATGACTGAGTCCCATCTCATGGTCACCAGCAAGAACTTGAGGTACTATAAAATCTTCAGCTCATCAACATTCTGTTCTCTTTGTACATCTTGTGATTAGTAAAATATTTTTGGTTGTTTTTCTCAGAAATACAGCCTTTGAGGGAGCAAGATCCTGAAATTCACTTTACTTAGTAAAAATGTCTCTTTTCTTACTCTGTAGTATCTAGAAATCATCCTCCTGACTAAGTTGTAGGAACATCCTACCACAATTTAGAGGATGCAGTGGGGCTATAAGGCCCCACAGAGACACAGAAAAAAATACAAAAAAAAAAAGCAAAAAAAAAAATGCATTGGAAGATTCTTTCTTTCCTTACACATAGTAACAGCAAGAGTGCCATCCTGTTGTCAGTATTGTCACTGTAGAATATGTTGATACAAGACATTGACTTCAGCCGGCATGTGTTTATGTCCATGTGTATGTGAGTGTGTTGGCCCACGCACTTGGGATGCTTACTGAATTAGTGATTTGGAAACATACTGTGACCTATACACAGCTGAGAGCCAGGGTCTAGAGCTGAACTGACTTGAAATCACAGATAAAGTATTTGATTCTGTGCATGTTTCCTTGTCTGTAAAACTGCTATAGTGATTGCCTTACTATTATAAAGCACCTTGAAATTACTAAGAATCACGCTAAAATAATTTACTTTTTTTCCTCCCCCTACACATAATTGCAGGTTAATCGATCCTCAAACCCAAGTTACGCGAACAAGCGTGAGTAACTTTTGATTTGAATTTGTTTTCTACCGCAGCATTGAATGCTCAGTCACATGAACTTGAGCTCTTGACCAAGCTAACTAAATGCTGGTTAAAAAAACCAAACAAATTCTTTATTATCCTTTTCCAGTTTGAACTTGCTACTGTGACACAGTTTGCTGCTCATCAGGATAACAGGCGACTGATTGGCTTTGTGGTCCATCTCAGCGAGCCTCTGGGAGAAGAATCCATGAGCGCATACATTTTTGAGAGCAACACAGAAGGAGAAAAGGTTTGCATAACATTTGATAAAATGCTTTCATTAGAAAAACAGGTCATAGGCTTCTTGGTTTACGCATGTGGGAAACACTGCTAAAGAAGCCAGAGTACTCAATTCCTTGCCAGGAAAACGTGCCATAACATGTTTTCAATGGCTTATGCCTAACAAAGGAGCAAACTCATAGGTAATGCAGCAGCATGTACAACAAGGAGGAAGGGGTGCGATTGCTAACGCTGACATTAAGAGACGGGACTGTGTGTGGGTCGAGCACCAGCACCCACAAAACGACCGTCAGTGATGTTCGGACGTGCACGTCAGTAAAGCTTTCAAAGACACGAGAGCCACACTGTGCTAATACCACTGGCTACTTCCTGCCTACGATAACAACAGGCTATTAAAAATAACAAATGTGCTGGACAATTTTTGTCTTAAAAGCTGTAACAATGCACTAGAAAAGATCCCCCAGGTTTGGATATAAAGTTTGGTTAATAAAACTGAGTTGAGTACAAAGATTTACCAGCCTAAGAGAGTTTTATTTTTATGTAGTTAGCCTGGTGAATTGGTGTTCTGCCCCTGCTTTTAGACCCGTACTTAAGACTAAGGTTGGATTGACACTTCTGCATTTTAGTCCCAATTACGGAACAAACCAAACCAAACCTGAACTTTATATATATTTATTTTTTTAGATTTGTTATGCCATTAGCTTGGGAAAAGAAATCATTGAGGCACAGAAGGTAAGTTTGTTTCGTTCCCCATGTCTGTGTTGTGATGCATCATACGCTGCTTTTGGCTGCACTGTCCAGGTACTTCTGGTGTGCGTGAGAAAGGAGAACTGCCACTCTCCCTCGGGACAAAGTTTTGCAGACATGATTTTTAATAGAGCCCCATGGTAGTTCATGCAAAAATAAACCCAGATTGACTTTGCAGTACCTTGATTTGAGATAAAATGTGTCACCCTAAATCAAATTCAGAACTATACAAATTCTGTTGTTTATGTTTGGAAGGAAGCTGTAAGCAGTGTTGAAAAAAACAAGCTCCTTGGGATGAAGTATAAATTGTACCTGTTGCTGTTTCACTTTTAGAAACTGATATTCATTCCTTCCTTAGGGAAGAAAAACACAGAAAGTTTTTCTAGTTAAAATGAACTGGCAAAGTTACCTGGCCCACTGTAGATAAATTTATCTATATAAAGATGTGACACTAATACATTAGTAGTTGCTGTGTACTTTTGCTGCTATGATTTCAGAACAAGTTGGGGGAATGAGCTTTTAGTCACAGAAAATAAGCACAAGTATAATAAAAAAAACTAGTTATTTTTCTCCTTGTTTGTCAGTAATTATATCAATGCCAGATAAGAACAGCAAAATAAAGGCTCAAAATGACAGACTTTTTTTTTCCTTGTATACCACCCAAGGGATGGTTTTACTGAACCAAAAGGGATTATTTCTTTCAAAACTTTAGGCCAGAATTATTCACATTCAAACCTTTAGACAAAAGGTTGTAAAAAAAAAGAAAATATAAAAGGTGCAAAACCTCAGCAAGAAGTACTGAGGAAACTGAAAGATTGCTGCAGCCTGTCCACCTCTTTCTTTCTTTCTTTTTCTTCAGGACCCAGAAGCATTAGCTCAGCTGATGAAGTCTGTCCCATTAACTAACGATGGAAAGTTCATGCTTCTGAATGATCAGTCAGCAGAGGATGGAACCACACGTGAAGAAGGGGAGGAATCAGAAGCATAAAAAAACTCTTGTGGTTTCCTGCAGCTTGTGCGGGAGCAGGAAAAGCAGGGAATCATTTTGCAAAACTTTGGTTTTCAGTCATCTACGCACAGAGGCCGCCTTCTGTCTTGCTGCTCCAGCCAGCGTGGCAGCGCTTTGTAGCGGCATTGCCTCTGGCTTTGCAACAGAACAACAGCTGGACTTGGCCTTTGAGGCTTTTTGCATTTGTGACTGTAGCGCCTGCCGGGTGCGCCTGGGCAGCAGCTGACAATCTCTGGGAATGTTTCAGCCTTGGCCCCTCGCTGCCAGCAGTTTGGAGAGCGTAGCTGTCAGCCACCAAGGGTTAATGTCACGTCTTCCAGTTGACATGGCCAGCAACCTGCAAGTCCACTGAAATTAGTGCAAGCTGTCAGCTCTTTTAACAAATACCAGGCCTGAAATTTCCTACCATAGTCCATTTTCATAGTTTGCATGATTATGTGCATCTAAATGAAGGTTAAAAATGCACTATTTACTTTATTTTCAGATGAAGTTATTTTTAGTCTAGTTTAAGTGTAACAAGATTTATCTTTTGTGCTAGCCTATTTACAAAACAGTTTGTTAAACACTAAATTTTTCCTATTAATATAATTATTTTTATATTGCATCTAGGATAAGCTTACAAAACAAATCTAAGTGCCTACTCTTACCTTTGTGGGGACCACACTCACCCATTCTGTAATTAAATACTTGACATAATGCACCTCCTTGATTTATTATTCTAAATACCACTGACATGCAAACATCGGAAGTAGTCAACGAATGTGGCATGTTAGTTGTGTGCAGTTTGTCTAAGGTTAGGTTTCTTAAAAGTTAAGTTGCCAGAGATGGTAATTGTAGGACAAATAAGTACTCTTACAATAAGAATTCTTTGTATTTTTAACATGATGGTGACATACACCAGCTAGGTCTACCAGCAATCTTTGGTTTTAAGAAACTGAGCAATAAAATGCTAGATTATATGGTTATAGTGTATTGATTAGTCTCATAGTACCTTCCTGAAATTAGACACTGTATGTATTTGGCTAATCAGTTTAGAGTTTTTTCCCTTCCAGTTTAACCTGAAAACATGAGAAACTGTACTTTGCAAGAGCAAACAAAAACAAACAAAATAACAGTAGTTATCGGGGGGTGGGAGGTATGTAATCTGTGGCCTAGTTTGTATTAAGCAAGATAAGATAACTGGAACAAATAGCTGAAATTCTTTAAATTTAATTTAACTCTTCTCAAGCACTTACTAGGAAGCTAGATTTTCTGTATGCAGAATCTGTGCTACAGCACCTGAAAAATCCCGGTTTGCAAGTGTTTGACATGGAGTAAATTCAATTAGCTGGTTGTTGAATGTTTAAGAAAACCATGGAAAGAAAGCGTTAGTAACTGATACAAAAACTTCTTCATAAATAAAAGTTGAAGTTGTTTCACTAAAAAAGATTAACACTTGCTGAACTGATGTTACTGAAGACACTAAGAATGAAGTTCTCAAAATTACATTTATTAACACAGTTTTATGTACATAATGTTCTCTACTCAAACCAAAGAGACCGAGGTAACAAAATACCCTTTTGTACAATGAGTTAGGAAACATTAAGCGTTACATTTGGTCCTTTGTACCTGAGAAGCTGAAAAGAGCTGTTGTCAAACACACATCAGATGAAAACTCAAATTTACTTCTGATCACAGACTGCATCAGGACCTCCAGAACCTACCCTTCAGCACCAGCAGCCCAACCCCAGTTGGGTGCTGCTGGAGCCATCATGTATCACCTGTCAACACAAATGCCTTCCGACCTTGGGGACGAAAGCAAGCGAGGCATCGCTGTGCTCCACCCCCCCAACCAAGGTGCTGGGCACAGCAGCCCCAGGGCTTCCGGCATCAAAGGGCACAGCACCACATCAGAAACAGGTTGCAAGAGCCCTGCGAGAGCAGCTGCTACCCCTTCTGCGTGCAACAGCCTCGGCACGAGATGAGGCTATGTCACACAAGGGCAGTGGTGGCACTGGCCTTCTTGGGGAGACTGTTCTGCCCCCCACTCGAAGGAAAAAACCCACTAGAGATCTGGTTTATGTCCCTGCAGCAAACTCATCATCCTCACTTTCCTTTTAACACCTCTGGGAATTTTGAGTGAGCACGTTCTGTTTAGTTTGGGGGATTTTTTGTTTTAGCTCCATCATCTCCTTTCCAGACAACCAGTTAAGGTCCATTTTGTGCCTATAATTGGAACAGGAGAGCAAAAGCAATGCAAATAGTTGTAGCACCACAGCAAGAATTTTGCACCCCTTCCAGATTCTCGTGGGGGAAAATGATTTAGTGTGACTCTCACCGACAGAGGAGTGTGTCACATCTACAGCCAGCACCCACTCTGTATTTCAGGTAAGAAAAGCTTTCTGCAGGTATCTGCTGCTACATGACAAAAAGAAGGAAATAAAACTACAATCCTGTATTAGCAAGAACAGCTCTATGACTGTACACATTTGTGTGTATGTATATATTTTTGCAATATATAGTATACATTCAGGTCTCCCGGATTAAACAGGCTTCTATAAAAATAGGCTTATGTCTTTCCTGTAGACTTTCCATCACCAGAACCACACGAATTTGTTAACCACCACACATTAAAAAAAAAAACAACCCACAGGTCAATTTATGTTCAACTGCAAAGTATTACCTATCCAAGACGGTGTCTTTCCAAAAGAAAAATAGGAGAAGGGAAAATAAATACAAGTGCAGATTTTATTAGAGCATGGGTAATATCTTGACTGTACCCAGCTACCCTGCAATTCCATCCTGGGGGAAACAAATGCCATCTATATGCGATTCTGCAGTTGCTGTGGAAGACGGAAATGTAGTGCTTGGCCACCCCAAGCCAAGAACTTAAGTGACTTCAGAAGAGATGGGAATACGGAAATATGTCCACTGCAATATGGAAATTAGCAGCAGCAGCAAGAATGTTGATCTCAGCAGCAATGCTGAGCATTCGGTGCGGGCACAATTTGGTCAAAAAAGAAAGTTACACAAGTTACAAAAAAATACCTGTATCAAAATAAAAACCCAAAAATATAAATCAAGTAATGCAGCATTTTTTAGGGCAGTCTCTGCAGTTATCGTGAATTACAAATAAAAAGTTTAATGAGCCCAGCTGATTTAAACAGTCCATGAAGCTTCTGTGTGATGTTTTCAGAACCAACGAAAGGACTTTCAGATCAGCCCAGTCTTTCCAGTTGCCACAAAACATTTGTCCGAGCTTTCTGAATGTTGAAGTGACTGGCAGGAAAGGGCAAACCAGAAGTACGTCAGGAATTGTCTTAACCAGTGACCCAAGGGTGAATGGAACAATCTGAACTATTAAAACATTACATTTTTTTGTAATTGGAAGGGATTAAAGAAGCTGGCAAGTATGATCAAAAAAAAAAAAAATACAGTTAAGAATGCCAAAAAATCCCTCCAAAAAGTAATTCTCAGTTGGACTGACTGTAGTAGTTTATTCTAGTTAGTAAGACCTAGAAGTGTTTTATGTTCTGGGAGATTGAAACACAACTATACCTTTTAATGAAAGTTCTGTTTACTTTTAAGCTAAGTCTAGCTACTTAAGTTAGGAATCAGAGTAACTCGCACCATCTAGAACCTCTACTTGCAGGCATTAACAGATGTTGTATTTATACAGAGTTCTCACAGTGTTCAGCAGCTTCTGAAGCCTGCAGTGCAATTATTGTTAATAGTCAGGCGTGTAAGACTGTATGAACAACACAGACAGTACAACAGACCTACAAAGGCTTGGAAATAGAGAATCGAGGCTGAAACTTGCAATTAGGCACAACATATTCATGAAGTGTAAGATCACTTCTTAGTTACAGACACCCATCACACAGTGCCTGGTCATAAAAGGAAGAGCTGATTGTGGTTCTGTCTTGGCTCTGGATTTCTTTACTTCTGTGGATGCAAATCAGACCTTCAGTATGAAATGAGAAGTAGTTTATTACATTAACTTTTCTAGTTTTCCCATTTTCTGATGGAGGGGGGTGGGGAAACAGCAGGGGAAAATAAATGCCTGACAGGATCCCAAGTTCCCACAGTGCCAGTACTATCTGTAGTAATAATAAGGGTTTGTGGAATAAAACATTAATAGGATTTCCATTTTGTGTAATAGCTTTAACATACGTTCTCAACATAAGCTGTTACACGTACAGTGTAGTCTATGACTGCATTAAATACAACAGAACTGCATAAAAACATGTCTAAATTATTTTTTGGACAACAGATATGTGCAATAAATTGATTCAGTATTTTTCTGGTTGAAGAGATGTACCTGTTCAAATCTTAGACCAATATAGCCTATGAATCTTTTTTTTTTCCCAAATGATGTGTTAGAGATGCAAGAATGCATCTAAAAAATAGTAAGATTTTTTTTTGATCTGCACATCAGTACTTTAAAATAACTACCTCCAAGGTCAACATCTTAAATAATTATTTTCAGTCTAAAGGAAGTGCTGTAAATACTGTCAACTCCTGAAAAATAGGAGTTTCTACAGGAAATATAGATACAGACCTAGCCTCACTGGATGCTAGTATACTACTGTACATTTTTCTCTTGGGTTTAACAGAGTAAGTAAATTAAATCTAGGGCTTTTACCCCTACAGAGAGTTACTGATAATGACAAGAACATGAATTATTTGAGTAAGTAATCATCACCCATACCAGCCATATCATTTCACAACAGGATCTGCAGGTGTAGAGTTGGAAAGATCTCCATTGCTTGCTTTAACAGATTCTTCTACAAAAATAAAAAAATAAAGACATGGATCATGTTTAACATTTTATTCAAGGCAGTAAAACCAAAGTCTTAGTATATATATTACGCTGATGTCAAACACACACATATGGTCAGTATATGCAAACTGACCTTGAAGCACAAAGGGTCCTGACCCTGTGAAGAAATCTGTAGTTGGGGTGAAAGGTTTCTTCAATGGGTAGAACTTGTGTAAAGATTACACGTGCACGCTCACATATTCTGCAGAGTCCAAGTCCAAATATTATGGTAGAAGGCAAAGGTATCACCACGTTCAAAGCTTTTCACCCTGCTATGCATTTCAAGCTTTTCTCACCTCAAAACACGTTTTTCAAAGAACTGAACACATAGCACAACAGTGAACATTTAATCTAAAATAAAATAACTGATGTTCTACAGAATGCCCTCCTAAAGCAGTCAGGGTAATATGTCTATTCTTGCTCAGCACAATGCTTGTAGTTGATTCTTTGAGCTGAACAATTATTTGAGCAACTTCACGGAATATGATCAAATCTGAATTCATGCTAAATGTCGTCTTTCTCTGCAAACTGTTTTTCTAGTACAGAAGAAATCTGATCTTTGGCTCAGTGACTGTAATCTCATAGGTCACTTGTGTCTTTGTCAGAACCACAGTGGAAAATTATTTACCAATTCCATTTTTAATACATTGTTACCTGAATTTCCAAGTAACTTGTGACTGAACTGCACTTCAGTCATAGAATGATAGAATGGCTTGGGTTGGAAAGGACCTTAAAGATCATCTAGTTCCAACCCCCTGCCATGAGCAGGGACACCCTCCACTAGAGCAGGTTGCCCAAAGCCCCATCCAGCCTGGCCTTGAACACTTCCAGGGAGGGGGCATCCACAGCTTCTCTGGGCAACCTGTATCTTAATCCTTGGGAGCACTCTCATTTCTTTGAAAAGAATTTCCCATACCCGAAACAATCTTCCAGAATTCATGACAGAATATAAAAGCATGAATATAAACCACAAAATACCCATGTTACCTAGTCAAGAGACCATACCACAAATTAAGATCTTACTCTTTGAATATAATTCAACAGTAGACCAAAACATATTAAACATCAGAAAGTCACATATAGTATCTGCATCATCTGCTTACATTAGCTGAAAAACAGCTGCTAAACAACAGGTGAAAAGCACCAGTATTTCACACCAGCTAAGGTCGTGCAGAAAAGGCTGTCACTGTCAAAACTGGTCATTGAGAGGGTAAGTACGATGCTGAAGTTATTGAATTAAATATTACTGCAAGTATGCAATTGTCCCTGTCCCAGATTTTTTTGGGTTGGTTGTCTTTTCAGTGGTGTTGGGGTTTTTTTTTTTTCTGGGTTCCCCTCAGAAGCCCAGCTTGAAATTCACCCATTCCTAAGAAGGCCTCTGTGAGCTGTTCTTGACTCCTCAATCACCCTTGACCCCATAAAACTCTTTCTGGAATACTGAATCAACCCACTAGCAAGAAAGCCGCTATGGAAAAAAGAAAAAAGCACTTTC